CTCAATGCCAGCGGGCCCACTTTTCTTGGTGTGCGCGTGTAGCCCGGTGACAATATAGTCGCCCGCTTTTCTTCTCTTTCATCCCTTCTCGCTGCCAGCTCACTATCCGAGCTTATGTGGTCTTCTTGTCGCTGACGTGCAGATACCTATTGTACCTGCTCTCATAGAGAGAAATGGACCAAAAGGGAAATCCTCTAATATGAGTGGACATCATGAGGTGATGTAGAACCATGCCAATGGCTACCACAATGTAGGATAGCTTGAGGGGATCCTCCGACGTTGTCACTAACAATTGTGTCTATTATCGGTAGACCCACATGTTAACTAGTAACACGTTACTCTAATGTTAGAGGTTCCTGATTTAAGAATTGGTTTCATGTACAGCTAGATCCACATCATTAATTAAGATATTATAGTGCTTCGTTTATTACGTGGGTTTTAATTTTGGTTGGTTCTGTTTCACTTATTTTGTCGCTTATTTAAACCCTTTATCACCGTCGCTTTCACCGTCGTCGCCACAGTCAACTTTCAGGCATTCTTTGATATACGCTATAAATTTCCTTAATCTTGTTAGAATAGAGCTAGTTACAATGAAAATGCTATGGAATTTTTTATTCAATTGGAGGATTGAGCCTACTACTGCTCAATAGTTGCCTCTCCCGCTTGGTCAACATCTTCTACGGTACGTCGGCTTCATGCAACACCGTTGCTCTACTTGTTACCTTTGTGCCATCATCAACTTCCAATTTTTTTTCATACATAACAGAAGTGCAAAGGAGGTTTACTAGGGAAGTACCTCATCGAAGGCAGACACTCAAACGAGAAGACAACAGAAGCCCGTAAAACATAATATCACAGATCAGCTGGTACGAAATTTCTTAATCCCTAAACTTTATATTTGGGTAGCTTCTGTTCACATGGCAAATGCATTCCCTTTGAGGCCCTGTTTAGAACACAAAATTTCACAAGCAATATTTCACTTGAATTAATTAAATTTCCATGAGAATCGAGGAAAATTCATTCATTCCAATTTACAAACAGGGCTTGAAGTTTTATGATATAGAATATTAATTAGAACACTAGTTGACCTCTAGCATACTGTTGTTGGGTTTATGCTTCAGCTTTTCATAAAAGCAGCTAGGGGAGAGAATTTAGCGATCTAAATAAATTTTTATTAAGAAAAAACGGTACAAGAAAAAGGTGTAAGGGTGGGGTGGTAAAAGAATCAAATACTAAAACATTGATGAAGTTTTAATTTCTTAACTGTTGCTTGGAATTCATTTTCCCGGCCCATTCCCTCTACCTTTGTGTTTCTCCACATATTCGTTACGTGAGTCATCTCCGCTAATAATCTCCTCATTTCTCGCCACCACATCTCTAAGAGGAAGGTTCAAGTTTGTGAGTTAGGAATACTACCTCCGGTCATTAATATATGACTTTTAAAACAACCTGTTTTTTCCTGAATACACCAATTAAAGGATTAAAGAATTCCCTGCCTTTTTATATCAAAAAATATCATATATGAATGACGTGAGATAAACAATATTATAAACGCCATATATTAATGGCTGGAGGGAGTAATTCAATTTTATATGAAAAGGAACGATTCATAATTGCAAGATTTCTTGGAGCTAGACAATTTGGTCCAAATTTCACTTTGCTTCAGGTTAAGGGCCTATTTGAATCACAAAAATAAAAATACGGAGAAATACGAAAACCATAGGATTCTGACATGAATGCAAGTTTAAAATAGAGAATTACAAAACACATGCAAAACATAGGAATGATTGTTTGATTGGGCCGCAGGAAAAACATTTGAATTTGAGGAGATATAAAGACTCAAAGGATTCTTTTCATGAGGTTGTACCTTATATTAAATTTCCTCCAAAACTTATATGAGAAGAGAGATTCCATAGGAATTTTATAGGATTTCATATCATTCATTACTTTGATTTCAACGACTGTATATAGGAAAAATTCTTATAAGAAAGAAATTCTCTAAAATTTCTGTGAATTTTCTTTGAATCAAGGGGAGTTAGTATGCTATAATAAAATATGTTAGTTATGACTGAATTGGAGGGCAGCTAGCTATCAAGCTATGCACAGCACAAACATAATTTGGCCATACCTTGTCTAATTATCATTTGGGTTTGGGTACATGTTAAACTACAAGCCATAAACAATATCCCTAACGACATGAAACTGTAACTAGAAGTAGAAACATCAAGCTAGTTTGTGCATGTGTGATGGAAGCATGGTTCACAATTCCGACAAAAACCGGTCGAATTCAGCGAAATTTCTATGTTTCAACACGGCTTGGAATTAAGTTTTAATTGAAATTTTGAAGGTTAAACAGTAGATTTGATCGAATTTAATCAAAATTTATCGAAAACCATGATACAGATAGGGCTCAAAATTTAATGATCAACCGGTAATGTAAACCCTGGATGGAAGATATATCTCTACCTGGTTCGAAATTGCGCCATGATGGCGAAGGGCAGACACATGCTACTGCGTGGATTTTCGTGGACCTAAGATTGCATTGACCAAATACAAAGCGATTAAAGTTCACTCGCAGTAAAACACGGCAGCTAGCATGCCGTAGCCTTGTTTTTCAGACACTTCTTTTCACGTTACGAATTCAAGCTATAGCAGTAGCAGGCAGGCATTGCTCAAGGTATTGTGTGGGTCCATTCTGCAATACATGCTGCAATACGAATGCAGAATTGCCTACTGAAAAGAAAGAAAAGAAAAACTAACAGTTTTTTTTTCTGTATCGTTAGTACTGCTCCTTTTGTGTGCCCTGCACTGCAATGGATGCAGCAGGCTTTCAGTAATAATGCAGCAGGGAAACGCCATGATAGTCTCCAAGAATTAATACTGTAGCTAGCTTTAGTTTATACTCCATTTAATTAAGATTATCGGAATGGGTTTTGATGTAGTTCTGGTGAGTGGTATTTATACGAGACAGTTCATTTTGGACGGAAGACAGAGCACGTATTGTCTTGTTGTTTGTCTATATGTCCATTGAAATGATTATTTTTGACCTATCCACGAATATGACTGCATCCATGATGACATGGAAAACTTTGTGTCCCCCCTTGGCCCTTGACAAATGGCTTTTGGAGACTGGTTGGCTTGGCTCTGGGCCAAACACTAGAGTGGTCAAGCTTGAATTTTGTCTTGAAGCTGTTCTCCTTACATTTGTCTCACCTTGCTACATCATCCATCCATGGGATGGATGTCATAACTTGATTTCCCAGCACGAAAAAAATTTGTAGAATAGGTAGAATTCTGTTTTGGGTTGGTCATATCCTAAATCAAACTTATTCAAATTTAACGTAGTAACATCTACAATACCAAAATAATTTTATTAAATCCACCATTAAATATATTTTTATAATGTATTTATTTGATGTTAAAAATATTTTTAATAAATTTAGTCAAATTTAATGAAGATTGGCTTAAGAAAAAAAACAAAACAACTCATATTCTAAAACAAAGGTGATATTAGAAAGTGCTAGTTATTTTGTGATTGTGCACAGTACAGTTACCTCGTACACGTGGCCACCGTAATTGATGCTAGATCATATAAAGAGAGTTTTTGATCTGTCTCCGCACCCATTCAGTTTTAGGTTTCACTGAGTTATAATAAGTTATCTTTCCCGATTTGCGCAAACCTCATCCGAACTTTGTTGCTAGTTACTGTAGTTGCCGTTGCGCTGCAGGCAGGCCTGCAGCCATAGCCAGCTCTACCATGCAGATTAAAAAAAAACAGCTCTACTTTGCAGTGCCATAGACATTGCCAGCAATAACATTTGTGTTGTGGGTGTCCTTATAGGAAATCATGTTTTTTGTTTTTTTAATAAATTCATGTGAAATCTCCCGATATTAGTTGAAGTCTAGTATGATTTTAATTTTATATTATATTTTCTACACAAAGTTATGCATTTTGTTAAGTCAAAATATGAAATTTGGTTCAATTAATAGTGGGTTGTACGCACTTTTTTTACCGGGGGGGGGGGGGGGGGGGGCTGGCGGAATTGAAATGTGCGGTCGGTTCCAGTCATCCAAAACGGAAGCAATGGGAGGGAGAAGTAGAAGGCGAGAGAATGTGTGTGTGTTGGTGCAAGAGAGGGGCAACACAACCATGGGCTTAATCACCGCCATTCACACCAAGGCACAAAGCTATTCATGTTATGGGTACGTTTGGAGGAGCTAATTGCAGCTGTTGCTTCTCAAAAATAAAAATGAAAAACTACCCCCAAACAACAATCCATATTTTTATTCAAATTCTGAGAAGCTGTAGTTATAGAATCTAGAAAATGAGCTGACTTATCTTATCCAGGCTCTCACCAATCAGATTACCACAAATTGCTTCTTAAAATCTAAAATTCTTCAAAGAGACCCTATATATGCTCTACTCCCTCTCTTTCATATTTTAAACTTCTTTGACTTTTTTAGTTAAACTTCTTTTAAGTTGAGCAAATTTATAGAAAATATTTTACAGGCCTAACCATTTAAAAAAAGGAAATAATTTATTCCAACAAAAAAAATTATCTATATTATTTTATTTTATTAGACCAAATGCTACTATGACCCAGCTTATATTTATTTATTGATTGAAAGCTGGAAAAATTTCCAGATTTTGATTGAAAGTTACTTTAAATCCTGATTAGAAGTCAATCAAGCCCCACATGAGATGTGCTCAATTTTCTTAAGGTTTCTTTTCCTTGGTATGTGTCGAAACAAAACGGAATAACACAGAAAGCACTTCTCTCCTTTCCATCAATTGTACGCAAAATCAAAAGCAAAAAAAAAAAAGGGGCAGACTTAGACTAGCAATGCTGCAATGGATCGAGGGACGATACACAAAAGAAACGAGGGAAAAGGCAGAAATGTCATCAAACAGAACGAACCACGAGAAAGAGCCACACCCTCACACACTCCACTCCACTCCTAGCTTACCCTTTTGCATGCTTTCCCCCTGCCTCGTTGCCTCCTCTGACTTTGCAAAATTTTTTCCAAGCTTTATTTTCCTCGTTCCCTGACGAAAAACTGTTGCACGCAGCAGCTTGACATTGCCGTACTGCATCCTCGCAGAGCACACAACACACTCTACACAACCTTTTTTCTCAAAAGCCCTTCTATTTAAGCACGCATGCCATGCCACCCGCACTCTCTGGAGCTCCACTGCTGCTGGCTGCTGCTGCGTGCCATGGACATGGAGACAGCGCAAGAAAGAGAGACGCGCGCATGGCGGTGGCCTTTGGACACCATGGCCTGTGGCCTGGGCGACACTGGCCGCTTCCTGTTCGAATGGGTTCCACAGCTTAGGTGCTTTGGTCTGGGAGTAGTGGGAGTCGGCGCCGCCGGTGATCCTATTCCTCATGGTCATGGTCACACCCCCCATGGCCGTGAGCTCGAGCTCGAGCTCTTCTTCCCCAAGTGTAGGTTCTTGCACACACTGCATTGCACATGCAGACACAATTCTGCATGCCCTTTTTTCGATTGTTTCTTCTGTTCTCTTTGAAATCAGCCTGTGTTCATGGAGGTAATTCTCGTGGTCGTTAATTGGTTGGCTCATGCAGGTATGGAGTCGCCTGCTTCGGAAGCGGTGGTGACGGGTTTACCGGCGCATCAGGATACCATGGTGATGTACGACGAGTTTGATGAACTGCTCCAGGTGAGTTCAAGCTTCAATTGTGTCAGAATTACATGCAGTTCTTGCTCTGAGAGCTTATGTCTGATGCTTGCTTCCTTTGTTTTTCTCGTTTCACTCTGATAAATCTCTTCAGAGTTTCCGGGACGGGAATGAGGAGCAGCAGCTCGTAGGCTTCGATTCCAGCTGCTTTCTGAACGAGAAGAACAGTGACGTTACCTGTTTCCTAGGTACAGGATCTGTACATTACTCTGAGTTGGTTTAGCTTACTTCACACTCTTTTAGCAATAATTAGTCCTGTATCTTCCATTTATTCCATAGTAGTGGTACGATTCCAAATAACTAAGACAAACTTATAAATGATTGTTAAGTACGGTTCTCGTGAAATTTATGCCTGGGCCTACCCAAGATTAGTGCTACATTGCTGCCCTAACACATCATTTTGTGTATCATGTGTGCAGTGTATGTACTGCTTGTTAAGTAAAGAACATCATTTTCGGAGTACATGTTTAGATGTTACACAGATTTTAACCTGTTAAAAACCAGCATAGTGATTAATCAGTGGGTTTCTGCAGACTATGATGGTGACGATCTTCCTCTGGCTCTGAGCTCTGTCTCACCAATGGAGCCCCTTGATAACACCGTGGGGCAGCCTCAAGCAGAGCTTGAGCACCCTCCCAGCTCTGCCTCCTCCCACGGCAACGTGGGCCCACATGCCAGTGACACTGGCGCCAGCGCCGACAAAGACTGTTCGTCCAAGCGTCCAGCTACACCAGAAGGTATGACCTACAGTACCCTTTTTCATTTCTTGAAATTTTTTATCAAATTTTTGTGACTAAATCATCTATTATATAGTTAAAAGTAATAGAAAAAGTAGTCTCCACGTTCGCTCTCACGGCTTAGAAATTCTCACATTAATCGAAAGAAAATAAGAGAAAAAACAAAACACCAAGTGTATTAGGATTAGGTCATGCAAACGGACAAATAGAAAAAAAAAACAAAGGATGTTATAATGATAGTGTGTAATAATGATTCTTTGGAATCCGTATGAGAGAACCAAACACAATCATATTCTGCATGCCCATATCATGGTAATTGAGTTATCCGTTTTTGAATTGTACACAATACATGTCATCTCAATAAATACATGTCCTAGAAAAACATAAATAACAAAAATAATCACATGATTTTCTCGCCGCAAATTAGCACGCCAGTAATCTTTTTACTACAATCCACTTCATCAGCAGATTAACAAACATAAATCTTTTGTTGCAATCCGCTTCATCAACTAGCAGACCGAAAATTCTTGCTTTGATACACATAGAAATCCAATTTAAAAATAACTAAAATTCAAAATTAAGAAATTATTAGTAACCAGCACTCATATCGGTATATACAACAAAATATTGATATTATATACCAATAAAACTTACAAATAAAAAAATCAGAATTTTAAAAATAAATATTAGAAGAGGTGTCTAGAGTCCTAAAAAATAAAATTTAGAAATAACTGAAATTCGTAATTTAAAAATATGAAATATTGAAACAAGGGTTTATATTCCATATAGGAATAAAATTTATAAATAACGAAAATTCAAAAACTTTTAAAAGTTAATGTTGGTATAGGAGTCGAGAGTCCACATAGAAATCCAATTTTTGAAATAACTAAAATTCAAAATTAATAAATAATCAGTAACCAGCACGCATATCAGTATATACAATAAAATATTGATATTATATACCAATAAAACTTACAAATAACAACAATTCAGAATTTTAAAAATAAATATTAGAAGAGGTGTCTAGAGTCCATATAAAAATAAAATTTAGAAATAACTGAAATTCGTAATTTAAAAATATGAAATATTAAAACAAGGGTTTATATTCCATATAGGAATAAAATTTATAAATAAAGGAAATTAAAAATTTTAAAAAAGTGAATATTGGTTTAGGAGTCGAGAGTCCATATAGAAATCCAATTTTCGAAATAACTAAAATTCAAAATTAAGAAATAATTAGTAACCAACACGTATATCGGTATATACAATGCAATATTGATATCATATAGCAATACAACTTACAAATAACAAATATTCGGACTAAAAAAAGAAATATTAGAAGAGGAGTCTTGAGTCCATATAAAAATGCAATTTAGAAATAACTTAAATTCAAAATTTAAAAATAAGAAATATTGAAAGAAGGGTTTAGATTTCATATTGGAATAAAATTTATAAATAGCGGAATTTCAAAATTAAAAAATAAGAAATTTTGGTAGAGGAGTCGAGTACATATAGAAATACAATTTAAAAATAAAAAAATAATAATTAATAACTAGCACCTATATACAATAAAATAAGAATACCATGCATTGTTTAGTTTGGTCAAGTTAGTAAATAATTTAAAATTATGTTATCATTTTATTACATTTTAATAATAAAATGTAAAAAATATATATAATCTTACGTGAGAAAAATATATCGGTCCTAGGCGCGCAATCTGCGCGGGCCACCATGCTAGTTACTTGCTCTATTCCAAAAAATAAAGTAGTATGATTAGATGAGACACATCTTAGTACTAAATCTAGACAGTTTTTCTCTTCAGATTTATAGTAATATGATATATCACATTCAATTATAATATATTATATTTTGAGACGGATGGAGTATTAAAAATTATGATCACGATGACGACACCATGATGCTGCAATCTCGCAGGGAATGAGACGGCGAGCAGCAAGAGGAGCAGGACGACGGCGGCGCCGCCGCCGCTCTCCGGTGCCGGGACATCGGTGGTGTACCCGTTCGCCGTGGTGAAGCCCAGCGGGCTGGACGGCGGCGCGACGCTCGCCGACATCAACGCGCGGATCCTCACGAGGCCGCCCAGGCCGGTCAGGCACCCGGTGGGGGAGTTCGCGTGCGCCCCGCGCGCGGCGGCCGGCGGCGACCGGCCGGCGCCGTCGGGCAAAACGGTCGCCGGTTTCACGAGGCTGCACACCGCCGGGAGTGGCACGATAACCATCATAAGGACGAAGGGCTAGTGATCGTCTGATCGAGCCGTACGTCAAATACGATTCGATCTCTTGGATGATAATCTTGATGTAAATTGATTAGCAAGTGACTAATTGTACTGGGGAATAAAATGTCGAATGATTGACTGAATGTGCTGAATCTGGATCTGGAAGGAGGAACATGATATTGGATTATCAGAGTCTTCGCATAAGTAAGTAAACAAACAAACAAATGGAAAGATTGAACAAACTGTTGCAGATTTTTCTGTTCAGAAGATTGAATTGATCATACTACAGAGAAATCTTTGGATGCTACTAGCAGTACTAGTATAGTAGCTACAGGATGCAAAGCACTTAATGAGAAGAATAGTGCGAGGTTATAATTGCACGGTAGTACCTGTAGACAGACGGTAGGAGTAGCTGCTGCTGTACTGGCTGAAAATACCTGAAAGTTAAGGCAATCAGCAGATCAGCTTTGCCTTTATCCGGAGTTGGTGGCCCGCCGGATTTTAGCTCCATGGAAAACTGCAAAATTCTCTTTTCGTAGCTGCTTCGTACTTACAGAAATACTACAGATTGGATACACCGTTCTAATGGGATAGATGACTTCAGCATGAAACCTAAATATCAGATCAATATCTATGGGATATCATGTCTATTACCGGAGGTAGCAGACCCGGTACCTATGGTACAATACTGACGTTAGCATAATACTAGATCTGATCTACAGGGTAGCATGTACGGTATCGGAGGTACCATATCCGGTACCATGCTGACGTTAGTGTGCTACTAAGATACCAGATCTGGTACCTACAGGGTATTATATCTAGTATGGGAGATACCAGATTCGAGGTTATCATGACGTTAGCATAATGTCTACGAACTGCGGGTATCATTTTTGATACCGAGGTACTAGATCCAGTACCTATATGGTGCGTACGATATGATTTCGTGCTAACGTCAACATACATTAGCTATTCCGGTACAACGGAATATCATTACGTAGTATCCCTAAAATCTTTACTTACGTGTCCCTAGCAACTTAAAAGTCAATACTGAAAAAAAAACTACGTTAAAAAAGCATCAAAATCAACTTCAAAATCAGGCTTCAAAATCAGGCTGTGTTTAGTTTCACACCAAAATTGAAAGTTTGAAGAAATTGGAGCGATGTGACGGAAAAGCTGAAAATTTATATGTAGGAAGTTTCGATGTAACGGAAAAGTTGTAAGTTTGAAGAAAAAAGTTAGAATATAAACAAGGCCTCAGTTTTAAAATTTAAATTTTTGCAGCAGCTTATAGGCCATTGGACAAGCACCCTTAATCTGATATTTGTTTTAGCATGACCTTTATAGTTTCAAATACTCAGACTGGGTTCGGTTGTTTAGGTTGTAAACTAATCCCTCGCGTATGTGAAATGGAGCAACTCATTAGTACATGATTGATTAAGTATTATTTATTTTGTAAAAGAGTTGATTAATACAATTTTTTAGAACAATTTTACTATAGAAGATTTTTGTAAAAACAAATGCATTGTTTAGCTTTGAAAAACACTAGGTCATAGAGAATCGGAGGAGTGAGAAAAGAAAGCAGCCTTTAACTCATCAGTTGATCAGTTCGCTGATTTTCTCTTCTAAAAATAAAAAAAAGAAAAGTTACTACCGTCAGTAATTACCAAATTCCAGGCCTGCCCGAGCCATAAGGGCATCAGGCCCACGGCCCACGAACTCCCAGAGCCCTTCTCTCGGCTCTCGCCTTCCGGCCTCCATCCTCCAGAGACCGCGGCCGCCGCCGCCGCTCGCCCACCGCTGCACCGCCGCTTCCCTCCAAGAGTCCAAGGCTTCGGCCACCGCCGAATTGAACCACCGCCACCCAGATCCACCGCCCTCCGGTCCTGCACAGCCGCCCGCGACGAGACGAGCCACCGGCGCCATCTTCTCTGTATGTAGGTATTACCAATTCCCCCCTCAAAACATGTACTTCCTCCGTTTCAAAATGTTTGACACCGTTGACTTTTTAAGTACGTGTTTGAACATTCGTCTTATTCAAAAAATTTAAGTAATTATTTATTCTTTTCGTATCATTTGATTCATTGTTAAATATACTTTCATGTACACATATAGTTTTACATATTTCACAAATTTTTTTAATAAGACGAACGGTCAAACACGTACTAAAAAGTCAACGGTGTCAAACATTTTGAAACGGAGGGAGTATTTGCGTGGTGACGCCGTGACGGGTGCTCTGCTCGTGCAAGAATCTCGGTGCGTATGGATATGGTCAATGGCTACGATTAGTACAGGTAGTATATTATATACATGCCATATTCCATCTAGGGATGGCAATTGTGCCCGTTTGCCCGTTTACCCGTGGGTAAAAACTCTATTAGGGCTCCTTTGGCAGCCCGGGATCCCGGTGGGATCCCAACCCATTCCCTGGGAGAAAGGCCCGCGGGGGAAATTGCCACGGGGTTTATTTCATGTCCATTTGGAAGCCCATGAGGCAGGGATTTTTCGGCCCAATCCGCGGGGAAACCCTAGGGAAAGGACCCCGACATCCGGAGGTCGGGAATATTTCCTCTCGCGTGATCCTCCGCCGCTTCTCTCTCGCGCAAGAGCGGGCGACGCCACCGCGGGACTCCTCGTCCGGCGAGAAGGGTAAGCCCTTCTCCTCTCCCCCCCTCCTCCTACTAGGGTTCCCGCTCTCCTCCTCGTCTAGGGTTTCCGCCTCCTCTAGCTCTCCGGTCTCAGCACTCGCATCGCAGGCACCGAAGGGCGGGTGGTGCCACGGCAGCCTGGGCAACGACGACGAGGCGACGCGCCGGCAGCGCGGGCGCACAGCGGGGGACAGGGGGAAGATCCAAGGCGGCGCGACGCACCGGCTTGGTGTATATATGGTTGTTTCTTGATTTGGTTTGTTTCTTAATTTTCTAACCATGTTGAGCCCGATCTGTTCGCGTGCAAAGAATTCTTGCTCCGGTAGTTTCTTCTCCGCTGTAAGCTTGGTTCCGTGTTGTCCCGGTAGATTTATGTTGTTCTTGAGCGTTGAATCGGTGGAGGGATGGATACACGCAGGTGCTAGGGTTCAAGATGATGTTCTTGGTTTTAGTTTTTAGTCATGTGTTCACATGATCTCCACTCCCCAAATCCCAGATCCAGTTTTTAGTCTGTCACTAGTAGTATGTCTAATGGCCCTGCAATTTAATTTGAAAGCTCTGCTTAATGTATACTTGATTGCTTCATGTATACTTGATTGCTTTGGCCCATTGCAATGTAAATACCTAGCTGCAGTGTTGTGTTTTATAACGCTCCTTGAGTTTTTATGAAACTGTAGTAGCATGAGGCTTTAATCTGTCTGATCAGTTTGCACCTAAACAGCAGCTGTGTTCTATGATATCTCCTACTAGGCTGTGTTCTGTATCTCTCCTTGAGTTTTTATGTTGTGGTCTGAAGACTGACCAACCACTGAAAATGTAATTTTTATTATTGCCCAAATGACAGGGTTGATGTCTAGTAACGCATCCTCCTGTTAACTTTTCCATACTTGGCATTTTTATTTGCATATTATGTGAAACTTGCATACTCGTGGATTTACTTTGCACTTGTACAGCTGCAGCAAGAGAGCCTAGGAGAAAGCCAGGAAAAATATATACCATGAAACACATTATGATTTTAAAATAGGATCATGCCTTCATTAGTTTAACTAAGGAAGAGATTTTCAGTTTTCCTCTGCCATGCTAATTAAGATTGTTTGATGTTGCAAAACCGACATGCTATGATTTTGTTGTGTTCAAGAATATGACTCTGTTATGTCTTCTTGCTGACATTAATGTTATAACCTAGAGAAACCATGAGCATCTTTTCATCTTGATGCATTTACTTTGTAGTTTCTTGTGCAGGGCACTCGTCTAGATTGATTTGGACTCTAGAAATTCCTAGCAATAACAATTTTGGTTGTTTAGATGAACTCTGAAGTCTGATCTGTTATGTGCAAATTTCATGTGGTCATTGTTGTACTCATCAAAACCTTTTTTTTTCAAGAAAGAACAAAGGAATGTTCTAAAACATGTTTATTTTGATAATATAGAGTGGGTAGATGTATGCTTAAATTGTTATATTTCTGCAGCTTTCTGCACCAAAGGAAGCAGCAGTTAAGTTTCATGGATCCTGTAAAAGCGTCACCAGTCACAAGGATACAATTTTCTGTTGGGTTGTTTTGGGGGCCAGTCTGATTGTAGTGCAGTTGTGTAATGGAAATAATTTTTTTTCACGATATACCACTTTGCAGATTGAAGAGTTGTAGTTCTAAGAATTCTTGTATTTTCATAAGAAGCATTGTCATTTGAATTATCTATGTGGATTGTATTGGTTGAGATAAACTTGGTCGAATGTTGTCGATGTTTAATACCAATTTGACTTTTGCTGAATTTACTACATTCTTCAATTAAATGTACCATCATGATGCTAGTATATTGGTTTATATTATTTTTAATGATACTTTCCATATTTTTAATGACATTAATATATTTTTTGCAATTTTTATGGACTTCCCGTAGGCCTTTTTCAATTTATCTGTCATTTTTTGTAATTTTATCTTTTTTTCCTGATTTTTTTAGTTTTCTATGATTTTTTTTAGTTTTGTTGTTGAACACTGTTTAGCAGTTTGCCTCTCTAAATCCCCATTCCTCCATCAACCCCCTCCCCCTACTCCCAAATGGTAGCAGGAAAAATTCCCCTAACAGGAGTGATTCCCCTAGAGGTGGAGGGGGATCAGTTGGTGCCGGGGAAAATCCCTGTATGGAACTATTTCCCGGGGGTTTCCTCCCCCTGCATCCAAAGGAGCCTTTAGGGTTGGGTTTGTTCTCTATTTTATACCCATGGGTATCTTATTGGGTCAAAAGCTATACCCGATGGGTAAATGGGTATGGGTATGGGTAATCACTACCCATGCCCGCTTTGCCCGTTTACCCGCGAAGTCTAACTTACATGTAGGCGATGAGCAAAATCCACTAGAATACATAAGCCACGTTCTTTGTTTTCTACGGTTTCCCTTTTATTTTCCTTATTATTTCTCTTCCCCTTACTCTATCGCCGCGAGAGGAGAGACACCACACCGAGGCGGAGAATATTTGATGTTTTAAGTTCGATTCAAACTTAGAAGCTTGTAGACTTTTTGTTCCACTGCTTTTGTTGTGGCGAGTAAACGGGCAAGCCCGCGGGCACAAGGTGCCCGCGGGCAATGGGCATGGGCAACTACCCTTACCCGTCATGTAGTAATGGGTATACCCACGGGCACAAATAATCTCATGGGCACGGGTATGGGTAGGCACTACCCGTGCCCGTCGCGCCTGATTACCATCCCTAAATTTTCCATCACAGGTACATTAAACTTTGTAGGAGTATTAACAGTCGTAACAACCCAAAATACTACATGCCAGAGTGCTTGCTAGGCCCAATTTATCCTATTAAATCTCAAAGGCCCATAATAAGTGTTAAGGATAATAATACCACCTCAGGATTTAAGCGAGGAATATCTCAACCTAAATAGGGAGTTATTGGAGGCTCCCTGTTGACTGGTTGAGGTGGGGGTCAGGAAAGCCACACGCGCGCGCGCGTGCGCGCCGGGCCGGGCCGAGGGCGTGGGCGTGGGCGTGGGCGAGGCGTGGCTGGCGGGCGGGCGTCACGTCACGTCGCTACTCTTTTGCAACCACGAACCCACGTTCCCACGACTGCCTCCGCAACAGCGCATCCACGATCCCACGTTTCCACGACTGCCTCCGCAATAGCGCGTCCACGATCCCACGTTCCCACGACTGCCTCTCTCCTGATAGATAAGGAGGCCGCGAGTCCAGTCTGAACGATCCGCTTGCTTCTTTCCCGGGTGTTAGTTCCTCCTCCTCCGCGCCTGTGCTGCTCTCGCTTCTGATCGCTTGCGCGCACGAGAGATCGGAAGAAGCAGGGCCTCCGGAACCACACCTTCGCCTGAGATCTGCACCGGGTAGGCGGGTGAACAGGTTTTTTGGGAGTGCTTCCCGCACGACTGCTCGTCCTCGCCATGTCTGCGCCTGGAGCCGGAGCTGCCGCCGGTGCCGCTGCTGCTGCTGGAGGAGATGGCGCGCCTGGAGCCGGAGTCGGAGGTGGTGCGCCAGGAGCTGGAGCCAGTGCCGCGAACAACAACACCAACGGAGGCAATTCTGCCTCACAATCCAGCGGAGGGCCATTCTCGGGGTATATCCTTCTCCTGTTCCTGCTGTTAGCGCTCTACTGCTTTGTTCCTGTTCCTGATATTTATGATGCCTTTAGCATGCTACTGTGTTACTGCTATGTTCTTGTTCCTGATATTCATGATGCGCATGATAGTATGCTACTGGTTATGTTACATGTTTTCACTAGATCACCCTACACTGTTCATGCCATGATTATTGTCTTAACATTTTGGATTAAAATATACCAATTTATGACCATATTTCCAACAATCCAAAAACCTGATAGGTCATTTTCGGTAGTTGGCTTTGCTGCTGCACTGAAACCACATGCTTTTGATGGTTCTAACTATAAGAGATAGAAAGCACGTGCACTATTGTGGTTGACAGCGATGCAGTGCTTCTATTTTTCATGGGGCAAACGAAGTGAACCACCTCTTTCTCCTGAGGAAGAGGCTAAGTTCGAGGCTTCGGATTGCTTGTTCCGTGTAGCATTGATCAGTGTACTCGCTGACAACATAGTGGACGTGTACATGCACATGCCTTCCGGGAAGGACATGTGGGATGCACTTGAGGCCAAGTTCGGAGTTTCTGATGCCGGCAATGAGCTGTATGTCATGGAGCAGTTCTATGACTACAAGATGGTCGATGACCGTTCTGTAGTAGAACAAGCTCATGAGATTCAGATGCTGGCTAAGGAACTTGAGAACAACAACTGTGAGTTGCCGGACAAGTTTGTGGCGGGTGGCATTATTGCCAAATTGCCACCTTCTTGGTCGGACTTTGCCACTTCTCTAAAGCATAAGAGACAAGAGTTCAGTGTTTCTGATCTCATTAGCTCTTTGGGTGTTGAGGAGAAGGCGAGGGCGAAGGACGTCCGGGGCAAAAAGGTTGAGGGAGGTTCTAGTGCCAATATGGTACAGAAGAAGAACCCTCATGCATCCCACAACAACAAGAAAGTCAAGCCTGATGTCAAACCTAAGGTTGCAACTAACTTTAAGAAGAAAGGCAAGGGAAAGGCAAAGGGAGACTGCTTTGTGTGTGGCAAGTCTAGGCATTGGGCCAAGGACTATCCTGAGCACAAAGACAGGAAGTCTGCCAACATGGTCATTAGCGAGGGCGGAGGAACATCGGGGTACGGTAAAATATTACCTATAGTTCTCTCTGTTTTTCACTCACCTGATTGGTGGGTGGACACTGGTGCTAATATTCATGTATGTGCTGACATTTCTCTGTTTTCTTCTTATCAGGTCGGGAGAGGTTCCTCCTTGTTGATGGGAAACGGGTCGCTTGCGGCTGTTCATGGTGATGGTACGGTCGATCTGAAGTTTACTTCGGGAAAGACCGTGCAGCTGAAGAACGTGCAGCATGTCCCTTCAATAAAGAAGAATCTAGTTAGTGGCTCTCTATTGTGTAGAGAAGGTTTTAGACTTGTGTTTGAGTCCAATAAATGTGTCGTATCTAAATATGGGACTTTTGTTGGAAAAGGTTATGACAGCGGAGGCTTGTTCCGCTTTTCTTTGAATGACATGTGTAATAATCATAATGTTGTGAACCATATTAGCGAGAATGATGAGTCTAATGTGTGGCATTCACGACTCTGTCATGTGAATTTCGGTTGTATGACGCGCTTAGCTAACATGAGTTTAATTCCAAAATTCACTTTGGTCAAAGGTTCCAAGTGCCATACTTGTGTTCAATCGAAACAACTTCGCAAGCCTCACAAGGCATCTGATGCGAGGAATTTGGCACCTCTAGAACTTGTTCGTTCCGATTTGTGCGAAATTAACGGCGTGTTGACTAAAGGGGGAAAGAAATATTTCATGACACTGATAGATGATTGCACTAGAATTTGCTATGTGTATCTATTGAAAACAAAGGATGAAGCATTGCATTACTTTAAGATCTATAAAGCTGAGGTAGAAAACCAACTTGAAAGGAGAATCAAACGGTTGAGGTCTGATAGAGGTGGGGAGTATTTTTCCAACGAGTTTGCATCCTTTTGCGAAGAGTTTGGAATTATTCATGAGAGGACGCCTCCCTATTCACCCCAATCAAATGGGGTGGCCGAAAGAAAGAACCGTACTCTAACTGAGATGGTGAATGCCATGTTAGACACTGCGGGGCTTTCGAATGAATGGTGGGGTGAGGCAGTTTTAACTGCGTGTCATGTCCTAAATAAAATTCCAATGAAGCATAAGGAAGTAACACCATTCGAGAAATGGGAAAGGAAGAAATTAAATCTCTCATACCTACGAACATGGGGCTGTTTGGCCAAGGTAAATGTACCTATAGCCAAAAAGTGGAAACTTGGAACAAATACTGTTGATTGTGTGTTCCTTGGTTATGCTATTCACAGTGTGGGTTATAGATTCTTAATAGTAAACTCTGGAGTACCAGACATGCATGTTGGTACGATTTTTGAGTCCAGAGATGCTACATTCTTTGAGAATGAATTTCCCATGAAACATATACCTAGCACCTCTAGTCAAGAAACTGTCATGCCCCATGAGCACTTTGCACCGATAGAACACAATGATCAAACGCCTGAGGAAAATCCTGAGGAGGACAACATTGTAGATACTCGTAAGAGTAAGAGACAAATGGTTGCAAAATCCTTTGGAGATGACTACATTGTATACGTCGTGGATGACACCCCAAGAACCATAGAAGAGGCATATTCATCTCCTGACGCTGACTACTGGAAGGAAGCAGTACGCAGTGAAATGGACTCGATTATGTTTAATGGTACTTGGGAAGTCGTTGAGCGTCCATATGGGTGCAAGCCCGTAGGATGCAAATGGGTTTTTAAGAAAAAGCTTAGGCCTGATGGTACAATTGAAAAGTACAAGGCAAGCCTTGTGGCCAAGGGTTATACCCAAAAGGAAGGCGAGGACTTCTTTGACACATACTCACCAGTTGCTCGCTTGACCACGATTCGAGTACTACTTGCTCTGGCAGCCTCTCATGGTCTTCTCGTCCATCAGATGGACGTTAAGACAGCTTTCCTAAATGGAGAGCTGGAGGAGGAGATCTATATGGATCAACCAGACGGGTATGTACTAGAAGGTTAGGAGGGAATGGTGTGTAAACTGTTGAAATCCTTGTATGGCCTCAAGCAAGCACCTAAGCAATGGCATGAGAAGTTTGACACCACGCTTACATCTGCAGGCTTT